CTTATTGTGTTTAAAATATGAACTTGATAGTATGTCTAGTTATGGAGGTATTGTTAGCAGACTTTTTATTTTTAGAGTTTTTTATATTCTTTTAATTTTTCCCACTCTTTGACGGCTTGCGATGAATTGACAGTACCACTATTATATATAAGTATGTCAAGACTTATTCTGTTTAAAATATGAACTTGATAGTATGTCTAGTTATGGAGGTATTGTAGATAATTTGTTAGCAGACTATGTTTAGAGTTTTTTTATATTCTTTTAATTTTTTTTTACTCTTTGACGACTTGCGATAAATTGACAGTACCATTATTATATATAGATATATCAAGACTTATTGTGTTTAAAATATGAACTTGATAGTATGTCTAGTTATGGAGGTATTGTTGGCAGACTTTTTATTTTTAGAGTTTTTTATATTCTTTTAATTTTTCCCACTCTTTGACGGCTTGCGATGAATTGACAGTACCACTTTTATATATAAGTATGTCAAGATTTATTTTGTTTAAAATATGAACTTGATAGTATGTCTAGTTATGGAGGTATTGTAGATAATTTGTTAGCAGACTATTTATTTTTAGAGTTTTTTTATATTCTTTTAAATTTTTCTTACTCTTTGACGGCTTGCGATAAATTGACAGTACCATTATTATATATAGATATGTCAAGACTTATTGTGTTTAAAATATGAACTTGATAGTATGTCTAGTTATGGAGGTATTGTTAGCAGACTTTTTATTTTTAGAGTTTTTTTATATTCTCTTAAGTTTTCCCACTCTTTGACGGCTTGCGATGAATTGACAGTACCACTATTATATATAAGTACGTCAAGACTTATGCTGTTTAAAATATGAACTTGATAGTATGTCTAGTTATGGAGGTATTGTAGATAATTTGTTAGCAGACTATTTATGTTTAGAGTTTTTTTATATTCTTTTAATTTTTTTTTACTCTTTGACGGCTTGCGATAAATTGACAGTACCATTATTATATATAGATATGTCAAGACTTATTGTGTTTAAAATATGAACTTGATAGTATGTCTAGTTATGGAGGTATTGTTAGCAGACTTTTTATTTTTGGAGTTTTTATATTCTTTTAATTTTTTCCACTCTTTGACGGCTTGCGATGAATTGACAGTACCACTATTATATATAAGTATGTCAAGACTTATTCTGTTTAAAATATGAATTTGATAGTATGTCTAGTTATGGAGGTATTGTAGATAATTTGTTAGCAGACTATTTATGTTTAGAGTTTTTTATATTCTTTAAATTTTTTCTTACTCTTTGACGGCTTGCGATAAATTGACAGTACCATTATTATATATAGATATGTCAAGACTTATTGTGTTTAAAATATGAACTTGATAGTATGTCTAGTTATGGAGGTATTGTTAGCAGACTATTTATTTTTAGAGTTTTTTTATATTCTTTTAAATTTTTCTTACTCTTTGACGGCTTGCGATAAATTGACAGTACCATTATTATATATAGATATGTCAAGACTTATTGTGTTTAAAATATGAACTTGATAGTATGTCTAGTTATGGAGGTATTGTTAGCAGACTTTTTATTTTTAGAGTTTTTTATATTCTTTTAATTTTTCCCACTCTTTGACGGCTTGCGATGAATTGACAGTACCACTATTATATATAAATATGTCAAGACTTATTCTGTTTAAAATATGAACTTGATAGTATGTCTAGTTATGGAGGTATTGTAGATAATTTGTTAGCAGACTATTTATGTTTAGAGTTTTTTTATATTCTTTTAATTTTTTTTACTCTTTGACGACTTGCGATAAATTGACAGTACCATTATTATATATAGATATATCAAGACTTATTGTGTTTAAAATATGAACTTGATAGTATGTCTAGTTATGGAGGTATTGTTAGCAGACTTTTTATTTTTAGAGTTTTTTATATTCTTTTAATTTTTCCCACTCTTTGACGGCTTGCGATGAATTGACAGTACCACTATTATATATAAGTGTGTCAAGACTTATTCTGTTTAAAATATGAACTTGATAGTATGTCTAGTTATGGAGGTATTGTAGATAATTTGTTAGCAGACTATTTATGTTTAGAGTTTTTTATATTCTTTTAATTTTTTCTTACTCTTTGACGGCTTGCGATAAATTGACAGTACCATTATTATATATAGATATGTCAAGACTTATTGTGTTTAAAATATGAACTTGATAGTATGTCTAGTTATGGAGGTATTGTTAGCAGACTTTTTATTTTTAGAGTTTTTTATATTCTTTTAATTTTTTCCACTCTTTGACGGCTTGCGATGAATTGACAGTAACACTATTATATATAGATATGTCAAGACTTATTCTGTTTAAAATATTAACTTGATAGTATGTCTAGATATGGAGGTATTGTAGATAATTTATTAGCAGACTATTTATTTTTAGTTTTTTTATATTCTTTTAAATTTTTGTTACTCTTTGACGGCTTGCGATAAATTTACAGTACCATTATTATATATAGATATTTTAATACTTATTGTGTTTAAAATATGAACTTGATAGTATGTCTAGTTATGGAGGTATTGTAGATAATTTGTTAGCAGACTATTTATGTTTAGAGTTTTTTATATTCTTTTAATTTTTTCTTACTCTTTGACGGCTTGCGATAAATTGACAGTACCATTATTATATATAGATATGTCAAGACTTATTGTGTTTAAAATATGAACTTGATAGTATGTCTAGTTATGGAGGTATTGTTAGCAGACTTTTTATTTTTAGAGTTTTTTTATATTTTCTTAAGTTTTCCCACTCTTTGACGGCTTGCGATGAATTGACAGTACCACTATTATATATAAGTATGTCAAGACTTATTCTGTTTAAAATATGAACTTGATAGTATGTCTAGTTATGGAGGTATTGTAGATAATTTGTTAGCAGACTATTTATTTTTAGAGTTTTTTTATATTCTTTTAAATTTTTCTTACTCTTTGACGGCTTGCGATAAATTTACAGTACCATTATTATATATAGATATTTTAATACTTATTGTGTTTAAAATATGAACTTGATAGTATGTCTAATTATGGAGCTATTGTAGATAATTTGTTAGCAGACTATTTATTTTTAGAGTTTTTTTATGTTCTTTTGATTTTTTCTCACTCTTTGACGGCTTGCGATAAAATGACAGTACCAATATTATATATAATTATGCCAAGACTTATTCTGTTTAAAATATGAACTTGATAGTATGTCTAATTATGGAGCTATTGTAGATAATTTGTTAGCAGACTATTTATTTTTAGAGTTTTTTTATATTTGATTTAATTTTTTCCTACTCTGTGGCGGCTTGCGATGAATTGACAGTACTACTGTTACATATGGATATGTATAGGCTTATTCTTTTCAAGGTATGAACTTGATAGTATGTCTAGTTATGGAGTTTCTGTAGATAGTTTGTTGGCAGACGTTTTATTTTCACAGTTTTTTTTTTATATTCTTTTCATTTTTCACACTTTTTGACGGCTTGCGAAACATTGACAGTAACTTGTTTTAGTGAGGCTTATAAATAGATTAAATTGTGTTAAAATATCAACTTGATAGTATGTCTTGTTTTGGACTTATTTAAGATTCTTTGTTGGTTGCGATATATCAAAATATTAAAAAGACCAATTTTTCATTTCTCTTGAATACAAATATTCGTAAATCTGACTTAATATCTATTTTATGGTTTATATTTTTTTTTAATGTTCTTACTTCTACTTTTGGTTTAATAATTACCGCATAATGTATTTAATTAAATTTATTAACCTGGAACCGACGCCACTGTTCATTCGGGTTCCTTCGCCATTTTGGCTGCCAAGTTTGGTCTGCTAACTTCACACCAGTCCCTTTGCGGTTATTTTCCATTCTACCGGACTGATGAATTCATACTCTTCTGCTTTCGCAAGGCTTTCCTGTCAAAAATTCAGGTTTTCTTCTTTAAAAAAACACTAACTCAAAAACGAAATATAACTTGAAATTTTTAGCAAAAATCAAGCTCTATATGGGGACAAAGCCTATGATTTTAAAAAATTTGTGAACAAAATAGAGGGTTGAAATACGAAAAATCAAGCTTTCTAAGAGGATGAAGCCTATTGTTTCTGAAAAAAATATGAATAAAAATGAGGGGTTAAGGGGGCGGAGTCTGTTAAATTGTAAAGAATATCATATAGAATGCTAAGTATTCTAAATAATAGCTTTCCAATTAAAAACCCATGAATATCTATTTATCCTTTGGTTCCACAGAATCTGTTTCACAACACAATCGAATTAAAATTAACACGAGATAATCAATGTGTAAAAAAAAATTTATTTATTTAATTATAACGAAATAAACTGACTGTTGTGTACAATCGATTGGAATGTAAAATTTAAATAATTAAATGTAAATTAAAGTACAGTGTTTTCTATCGTATTCTTAACAAAATTATTGATTCACATGTTCCCAAATTCCAAAATTATTGTAAAAATTACCCCCATTGGTAGTCCATTTCAACCATAAAAGTAATTAAAGAAAAACTTAAGTTTCACTTTGATGGAAAAAATATAACAGTAATTTAGAATATTTAACATTTAAAGTTTTACGCGGTACATCAAAATTTCTAATAGATTAGTATTACAAAAAATATCTGATAAATATAGAGGACAATATTGTTCAGAATCCTAAATACTTTTGGCAATTTGTAAGAAACATAAGAAATTGTCAGAGTATAACATATTAACGCAATGGACTATCACTGATTTACAATCAATTTCTCTAACTACGACTGCAATTTGTTTGACATACACTGTTTTGGGCATGTTTTGATGAATGTCTTTGTCTGCTGTGGTCTGGTACCCAGGGTAACCACAATGTTGCAATAATTGAAAAATGGAACATTATTCCTCAAGATTGCATTTAAAATTATATTCTATTCTATTCTATTTAACATTTTCATTGTTCAAAAAAGATAATAAAAACTTTCTGTCATACCTACCTTCTTGCTTCCTTTTCCAAATATCTTATAGCTCTTTCATGAAATTCTCGTTTTTGGTTATCAGTTAATAAATTATATGTGGTTTCTCTAAATTCTGAAGAACGGAATCTCAGATAACCGCAGGAGGCGTATTTAGGTAAATCCTTACAAGAATCTGGAATAAAAACAGTAAAATAAAACAATGAATCACTAATAAATTGGAAAGAATGCAAAGTCGGATCACTGGCTGACTACGAAAGGTATTCAAAACACCCATCACAGGCGAAACCGTGATTGAACCGGCCACGGTCTGAATGGGTGACCGAACTCGTAGAGGTCGGGGTCTATTTAGACGGTAGAATGTATGAATTGAATGAATGGGAAGGAGGCATCCAAATGTTACAATAAACTCGTGCGTTTCCAGGCTGGAACCCTACCCTGATTGAGGAGAGCCTGCCAAAACATCTTAGGGAAGAGCAGAGGGGTACCTGAAAGGGTGAAAAGGGTGAAAAGTATGCAAATTATGTTTCTTGTTTTTGATGTTATATCTTGAAACTAAATCCATTTCATAAAATTTAAGGAGTAACTAACCATCAATAAGTATCCCTTTACAATCACATTTGACAACAATATCTTCGTTGGGATTGATTAATCGATCTCTAAAATTGAGCCCACCTTCTATAAAGTTTCCCTTCGCACAGCTTAACACATGGATTTCAAACAATTTTTTCACCGCTGCAACAAAATAATTTAGGTGTTTAATTTTTAAATAGGTGCTAATGGTAACCATCAAAACAACCTGTCATTTGATGTTAAATGCAGTTCTATTGTAAATGTGCCACTAGTCTATTTTTAAGATTTTAAACATGTTCCTTATACTAACCTAAAGCCGTAGTTCGGATAGCAGACGAAGACATAATGTAAAGAAGCATGTCTCTAGGGAAAACATCTCCTAAAATTGCGCTGCATTTCAGAAGAAGCTGTTCGTATGACGTAAGAGCGTCAAATGTCTTTAAAATTATCACGTCTATTACCAATTCGGGATCTACATCTTCCAAGTTAAAAGATTCGTTTAAAGTACAAATCAGCAATCTATCGGTCTTTTTTATCATTTCGCTAAATACTTTTGCCACGCCTAAATTTGGAAAGCTTTCCTAAAAATTTAACAAACACACATGTAGTAAGTCATAGAAGAAACTAAAAAAAAATAATATCTGAAGGAGAAAACTAGATGCATAGAGAGATATTTTATTTGAAACAATTCCATATTGTACCTAACACATTCGATTTTTTAAAAATATCATATTATTTTTTGGGAGGGATAATTGTAATAATTTTTTTGTATGGTCTCCTTTAACTTTACACAATTGAAACCGCTTTCCAAAAGCATTTAACCCTTCAAAAAATACTATACTATTGAAACCTTCGAAATATATCCATTTACAGCTTCGATGATTTCAGTATTTAATGTGAATTTCTTTCCAACCAATTATTTCTTGCGATTTGGAAACAAAAAGAAATCGGATGGAGCCAAGTCTGGTAAATACGGAGCACAGTTCAATTAACTGGAATCGTAATTAGTGCAGTTTCGTCATCGCAATTGCAGACTTGTAAGATGCCATAATATTATTCTTGTATTGTCCTTCCTTGTTGCAAGTAATCAATAAATATTTTCCTTGTAAATTTCAAAAAACGGTTGGCATCAGACGGTTAGCAGCAAACGCAATTGTCTTATCCCTGGCTCACCACATTGGGTCCTTCGACTCCTAAACGGACCACGCCTTTCTCCACTCAGAGTGAAACCGGAGCCAGGGGTGTTCATCAGACAGTCAAAACTATTTGCGTTACCCATAGATATTCGTAAGTTTAAAATGGCATTTGTATGTTTAATTTAGTGGCAACCATTGGACCTGAACGCGGACTGCGTTTTACAGGGTATCTGTATCTGTAACGTGTGTAGGGTGGGTTACTCTCACGGCACTTAGGCCTCATTAGGCCCATTGTGCATCCTCCTAAGATGATAGGCACCTCCTAGCTCGTGAGGCAGCCTACAGATTTAATGTAGTTGACAACGTCACCAAGAGGAGCTTCTCATATATTGGCAGATGTTAGCCGATACTCGTCTAACACAAATCTTCTAATAAATGAGAGCGTCGAGCAATCATAAAGGATATGCTCGATGATATCATCTTCTTGTTCGCACCCTCTGCAGAGTGCGGATTCTGACAGCCCTGTTGGAGACATGCTGTATATAATTTTAATAAGTCAATATACGTTCCTTCCAAGTTTCTCCTATAATTCTACAATTTTTATTTATGAAAAAGAATCTGGTGAACGAGGAACAGCGACTAGCAGTTTCGGGCAGTTCACAACAAGCCCCATGATATGGAAATGCTTCCGTACTTGGCAATGACCAGTCAGAATGCCTGTGACTAGGCGCAGATTCTGTCTAGTTATAGTCAAGTATTTGTTTGCTGCAGTGTTGTCAGGATAACTTAAGAGCTCCCTGGCAACTCTGGAGTTTCTTGTTTCATCCCATCTTTCCTTAACTTTCACAAGGGAATGTTCTTTAATTAGGTCTGTCACTACCGATTTTGTCAGGCCAATAGAAGGGCCAGGTCCAAAAAGTATTTGGTTGGCTGCTTTCTTGGTTAGTGAATCAGCAAGACCGTTACATTTCGATGTGGCGTGACCTTTGATCCATCTTAAGGTGACCATATTGTTGATGGATACTGCGGCCTGAGTAAATTCGTGGTCTGTTCAGGGTGAGTACTGCTTGTCTGCTATCTGTATAGATGAGCATATTCCTTGTTTCTGGTTATTTCTTTTGCTGCTATGAGAATTCCCGTTAGCTATGTTTGAACTATACTGGCACTATTGCTCACAGCCCACTTTATGTTTAGGTTTAATAATTTGGAGTATGAATCGTACCTGCCACTTCTGGCTCTTCTATTTATTCTACAGGGTATTTAGGAGGTAACATAGTGTTATATTGTTTCAGTTACAGTTATAAAACGTTGCAAAACATTTCTACACACTGCTGAAAAATAGTTATTCGAATTCGCTTTTGGTTGAGTATCAAGAAACGGAGCACATATCTAGCACAAAGCGTTATCATGTCCAAAGTTGTTGTAAGATGTAATGTAAGCGGTTGGATGAAATGCCTACTTTCTTTGCTATCTGTCTCAAATTTACTCGGCGATCATTCATCACGATTTCATAGTCTTTTACAATTGTTTTTTCATCGGTAGTTTTTGGTCTTCCAGATCGTGGTCCATCCTTTTAGCTTATTTTACCGCGTTTAAATTCAGCAACCCGGTTTATAATTTTGCATATAAAGGAGAAGACTCACCATGAACTTCTTCTGTTGCACAATCTGTTTAAAAACTTGACAGCAGTTCTACAAACAATGGCGCTTTTAAAACAGCGTACACGCGTAGTGCCATCTTCTGGTTCGTTCTAGAATCATTTATAATCAAACGTCATAGTGATATTTGTCTTAGGCCAAAGTCTACTTTAGTACTTCAGAAACATTTTTGGTGGATCATTCGTTAATAAGGGGAAAACAAATGGCGGAATGTATACAGAAACTGATGTAATTTATAAAAAAATTAGAAATATAAATAATTTTATCCTTACTCTGCAGCTGTCTATAAACATTTTCCATCTTGTCACCATTTTATCTTCTTTTATAGACATTCTTCTTTCTTCCATAATTTCTACCCACAGTTTAATTTCATCTTCAGATAATCTAAAAGATATTATTTTAAGATAAATAACAAGTTTTACTCCCAAAAAATAGATAATAGACAGCTTATTTATAGGTTTATGCTTCAATACCACCAGTATATTTAAGTAAAGTTCCTATGTCTCATTATGGTCCATTATCTAAAAGGATAAGGATAAATATCTAAGTAATGGATTCTAGGATTGCAAAGTGTTCCCTTATTCTTACCAGTAAATTTGCTGTAAAAAATACTTACCTCATAATCATATAAAGTGGCGGAACCACTATACCATTGTCGTAAGCATTTTCTCTACTCATTTCACGCATTTTAAGTCCACCTGATTGCATTAAACTTACAAGAAAGCTTTCAACCCAACCAGGATTACCACTGCTTTTTAACTGGATCGTCCTTAAAGAAATGAAATTTTTTTTTGGATTCATTCAATAATTGGACGAAATACAAACAGAAGCAAGCGTGTACAGAGACAAAATAAAAACAGAGGTTTTAGTTATAATCAATTACTTCGATCATATTGGCGGGATATATAGTATTCCGTGTATTGCTAGCGTTCTGCAATTGTCACATTCGTAAGTTTGGCATTTTTTATCTATTATTCAGTCGATAGTTTTATTTTAAACTAAGCAGTTTCGCTTCAACAGAAGTTGATTTCGAGTAATGATTTTTCTCTTATTAGGCGTTCCAAACAAAATGGCTGTCGAAGGTTCGTATACTTAAGAAGTTGAGCATACAATGTATTATGTCTATAACATACAAAATAATTTTTTAAAAACTACTTATACATTTTTCTTAAATTGGTAAGCTTGGCTACTATTTAGAACAAAAAGCTTCCAAGATGGAAGACTATGTCGCAACCCTTTTAGATATTCCTGTCCTGTCTTTCGGCAGCTATTGTTTGACAGGTTGGAATGCCTAATACATTTTTTCATAAAAATGATTTCTATAAAAAGGACGGTATTTGGGGAAATTAGAGGAAAAGTATGAGAACCGCTTTGAATTTTAATGTGGCACTACTATGAAGACTAGAGAGAAGGAGGCGAATCGGCAATGGTCAAATTTAAAATTTTCGTCCTTCTTTTTATAAAGTTCGCGAAATTGACTGTAGTTGGTATGTCTAATGACAGCGGTGTCAATTTTCTATGTAAGTCAGTGTAAAATGATGTGATTTTTTAAAAAATGAGTGAAAAGAATCTAAATAATATGAAAAAAAGTACCTGAGTACAAGTAACATGAGTAACAAAAAACATCAAAGCAAGATTTAGGTCGTTCCAGATTGTAAAACAGGATAAAAATCAAATGTAAAACCAAAGAAAACACAAAAAGAAATCAATTCAATGTCTGTTTAAAGCTTCTAATGTAAGTAAAATAATGTATTCATGTCTAAATTTAATATTTATTGTAAACTAGTCACAATATGTATCTTACGAAGTGTAGTTTATTTTATTACAATTTCTATAATCTAAATTTTTCAGTCATAGATGCTGACTTACAAACAGCAATAATTATCCATTAAATTTAACTTACTAGAAAAGAAAATTAATTTTTTTATAGTTTTAATGTTAGATAAAGAGTTGCTACTGTTCTGTGTAGGCTTTGTTACTGTTTTCCAGCGCCATTTTAGAAACAGCACTGTTAATTAGTACCCAACAGTGAATGGTCGAGTGGGGAATCCTACCAAGGCATGAGTTGCTACTGTTATTTTTTTTTTGACCCCAATTGTGTCATTGTAAATGTTTTGTATAGGATACTAAACGTTTAGAACAGTGGCTGTATATATATCATTCCTAGTGCCGATAAAGCACTTTCTAGAGATGATGCTGTTCTATACTTTTTAAAAGATTTTATCAAATATTATGAGACTATTTTTACTGATAGTACTGTTAGCAAAATAAAAACGGGAAAGCTGAAATTAAAGGATGAAGTAATACCATGTACATTCCCAAATCTAACTTTATACTTGTATTACAACAATAAAAAAATCTGTTTAACTGTGTTTTATTTTACTCTTAAAACTATATATTGGTTCAATTCAAAAAAAATTTTGCCACAAAATTGTACTTATCAAATTTCAGCATTTAAGAAACCTTTTCGAATTTGGTTATACATACCTAATTTGTATTTTATACAGAAAAAATTAAATAATTTATCAATTAAAACATGCAAGACTTATTTAAAAATAAATACAACAGTATGTTCTGTGCTTTATTTAGCTATAAACAAATTTATTTTTATTATTTTGAAAAAATTATGTATAATTTCCATAAGAAGCCATGTATTTTGAACACCGTATGCAGTACCAGCGCCTATGCGGTTAATTATAAAAGCTCAATTAGCATGCGTTTTTTGGGACCGTATTTTGAGTATGCCGATTCGTCTCCTTATCTCTAGTCTTCATAGGCACTACTGACAAAACATAATTAGCGCTAGGTTGAAGGTCTCTGCCCATTACACCAACTGTCTACGTAAGTTAGCGGCGTATGAAAAACTTTAATTATTAATATTAGGAAAAAAGTTATTCTTCAATTTAGACTGAAAGCTGATCAAAATGAAATATATGAGCGATGCGCTAATGTTATCGACGACTTTGTCAAACGTTTTTTAATTTTTATAAAACTAACTGGGCAGTTCGATAATGCTGTTCCGCAAAATGTACCCGTGTCAACATTCATCGTTCAATAAAAAAAGTGTTAAGTACAAACGCCTCGTGGATAATACTATAATGCCAAAATAGATTTAGAAATAAAAAAAAATCAACAAGAACACTATTCGAAACAAGTCGAAAGGGTATTAGTGACCATATTTTTCAATCGCGTTTTGATACAGAAGCTTGGAATTTACTTAAATGCAGTCAGGAAAACGAAACTTCCCTTTGTGATAAACGGTTTTCTAGTCTTGTTCTTTAATTTGTCTCAATCCTAACATATTATAAAACACAATGTCCTTGTCTGGATAACGCTCTATTCATATCTTTGCGTGGCGCGGCATGATCACTTAAACGGGTATACAGAAAAATGTTGAGGTCGGGTATGTTTTGAAATCCTAAGCACATCCTTATGTAGTTTTATAGTATGCCACAGCTAAACATTATAGAGCGCTGTGTGAAGGTATAGATTCCAAATAAGCGTCATTGTCATCAGAGTAACCTCCTTGATGAAAAGAAGTGAGACTAAGAATGACTTCCATGGCTCTGGTTGGTGTGATTTTGCAAAAGTGAATAGATTTTAAACGGGATTAATTTGAGGACTTGATTTACATACTGTAAATTGTGTTTTATTTTATTTTACTTTAGCAGTGCTCGTCGTAATAATTACTTTTCCAATTCTGGTGGGATCCCATCAACGTTCAGCATTTGACAAGCCAAACCAACATGGAACCATTTATTAATTTCCTTTAGGTCAACTATCTTGATTTTAGCATTCTTAAGTATTTCCATAACGATCGTAGAAATGGTTTCCGTACCCATAGTGGCCACGATAAATACTAGATTTAAATTTACCAATAAATTTAGTAGAAGCCAGGATTCGTCGTCGATATATTGTGAATCGTCGATAACTAATAAGTAGAATTTGTCGAAAACCTAAAAAAAAACACTATTTAGAATAAAAGATCAAAAAAATTAATTTATATCAATAACATAATGTAATGATGGTCTAAGATCCGAAGTAAAGTCGACCTTCACCCATGTGTTTAATGGATGAAAGTTTCTTTTTAATCAGTTTAATATATTTATAAATATACCGCAAATAGGTTGCCTAAGAAAATACGGTCCAGACTATTTATTTATTTAAAGTAAAAAAACGACACCCTGTAAAATATTCCCCAGATGCTTCGACTATATCCAAACTGTAGTTTAGCTCACCGCAGGATGGATTAAAGCTTAAATTTAAAATTTGGTGTTTTTTCTTCATCCGTTTTTGACTTATCTTCAAAATTCGAAATTAGCACTTTTTCTCAAATATCTCGAATAAGATCCATTTTAGGGAAATCATGTATAGAAATAAAATAATAGAGAATGACATTATAAGCAACTTTTATCATTATTCCTATACTTTCCTTATTTGTACACAGAAAGGAAAGTAAAATATGGCCGTGACCGTATTTTCTTAGGCAACCCATTTGCGGTATATTTAAAAATATATTTTATTGAATAAAAAAATCTTTTATCCATTAAACTGATGGGTGAAGGTCGACCTTACTTACGGATCCTGGACTATGATAAAATTGTTAACGGAAAAATATAATGTAATATAATATAATGTTTGACAATTTCAACTTGCCATAATACCATCGAGATAGAATAAAACAGAGACGATATAAAGACTACTCTGCAATATGCCAGATGGACGCACTTCGAGTAACGGAAAAAATAATGAAAATGGCGACTTGGTCGTGCTTTGATTTATTTGATGTCAATAATTTTATGTTTGAAGACTGACGGAATGAAAGTGACTTTATATCATTTAAATAAAGCTATTTAAAAAAAATTACATTTATTCTCACCAATACTGACTAGCTCGAATTTGACATATCGATGGATCAATCAAAAACCTCCACAAGTCAAAAAACAAAGAAAATTACATTTTTGGTTCAATGGATGCAAAATATCATTAAGGTTTCACTTTAAATGCCCGAAAATCCTTTAAAATCTAGCCACAAACTGTGTCTAAAACGGCCACAATTCGAGTTATTTTCTGCAAAAATACCCAAATTTTTTACAAACTATGCAATAATTCGCTTTTATAATCGTAATCGTTAATTTTAACAGCAAAATATCGAATCTTTTATATAAAATATAAAGATTTTATGCCAAAAACAAAATAACGATAATAGAGACTTACAAAATTCCGAAATGAAATTTCTCGAAACAATAGTATTTTAGTTGTGGCAGTATTTGATTGAGCCATCGACATAGTTTATTGCTAAAGAATCAGTTCGCTCACTCTACGTCGGCACTTTTGATCTCAATGTTCCAGTTTATACACTGCGCAACTCGGATTTGTATCCCTGGCGCATACAGAATCAAATCATCACCAATAAAATATATGACAACCGTCTTTATTCAAACAGCAGTCTTCTGCGCATCCTGAATTTGTATCCCTGAAGTGGATGTTATTTTGGAACTTTCAACTGGTCCGAGTGAGCTAACTGATTCTTTAGCAATAAACTGTGCCATCGATATGACGTAAAAGTGTAATGCAAAAGTGCGGACACTTTAGCATAGTCATAGCATCTTCTCTTTATTCTATCTCAATGCTTAACATCAATATTATGTTTAGTAGATATACATTTCATGTTCTTCTCTCCTTCCTTTTTATATTTCCTCACCTTCAAATGCTGATGAGTCTTAAAGTAAAATTAAAGAATATAATTATCCAGGTCTGTTCAAGAGGCATCTACACCTAATGAGCTAAAACTCTTGGTATACTTTCTCCCGTTCCTGAGATTTTAGTAGAACTACAATATGTTGTGTAAATTATAGAAATTTATTTAGACTTTGGAAAAAGGCCTATTAGATCAATACATATCAGTAACTGTATCTGTAACGTGTGGAGGGTGGGTTACCCTACAGCACTTAGGTCTCATTAGGCACATTGTGCATCCTCCTGAGAAAATAGGCACTTCCTAGCTCACGAGACAACCTACAGATTTAATGTAGTTGACGTCGCCAAGAGGTGCTTCTCTTATATCGGCCGGTGTTAGCCGATACTCGCAAATCTTCTAATAAATGAGAGCGTCGAGCAATCGTAAAGGATATGCTCGATGGTCTCATCTCTCTGCAGTGTGCGGATTCTAACAGCCCCATGATATGGAGATGCTTTGGTACTTGGCAATGACCAGTCAGAATGCCTATGACTAGGCGCAGATTCTGTCTAGTCATAGTCAAGTATTTGTCTGCTGCAGTGTTGTCAGGATAACTTAAGAGCAACTCTACAGTTTCTTGTTTTATCCCATCTTTCCTTGAAATTCACAAGGGAATGTTCTTTGATTAGGTCTGTCACTACCGATTTTGTCAGGCCAATAGAAGGGCCAGGTCCAAAAAGTATTTGGTTGGCTGCTTTCTTGGCTAGTGAATCAGCAAGACGGTTACCTTTCGATGTGGCGTGACCTTTAATCCATCTTAAGGTAACCACGTTGTTGGATACTTCGGCCAAAGCTTCGTGACATTCTAGTACTAACCCTGAATAAATTCGTGGTCTGTTCAGGGTGAGTAGTGCTTGTCTGCTATCTGTATAGATGAGCATGTTCCTTCCAGTGATATTGTTTCTGGTTATTTCTTTTGCTGCTGTGAGAATCCCCGTTAGCTCTGTTTGAACTACACTGGCACTATTGCTCACAGCCCATTTTATGTTTAGAATTAAGAATCTGGAGTATATTCCACATCCTGAGCATTGTTTTGTTTTAGAACCGTCGGTGTAGATATGAATCGTACCTGCCACTTCCGGCTCTTCTATTTGTTCTATTATAACTTTATATGGCTTATGAAAGATATATTTCGGTAAGATGGAGTACATGTTCGCTTGAAGCAGTGGGAGCGTATCCAGCTCCTCCTGCCAAAAGTGACGTCTCGCCTCACCAGATCCTACATCAGGTTCTATTCCAAACGTGCGGAGGCGTGTCATTGTCATCAGAGCAACCTCCTTGATGTAAATATCAAGGGGAGTGAGACTAAAAATGACTTCTATGGCTCTAGTCGGTGTTGTTTTCATGGCACCTGTTATGTTGAGATATGCTGTTCTTTGAATTTGTTCTAGTTTACGGATAGCTGTTAATTTTTGGGTTTTCGGTATGTTAACATAGGTCTTATGATAGCCGTGTAAATCCATGCGACGACTCTGTGGAAGAAACCCCAAGTGCGCCCCACGGTTCGGCGGCATTGTTCAAAAGCAATTTATGCTCTTTTAACTCTGTTTTCTAAATGCGAGTTCCATGTTAAGTTGCTGTCAAAGGTGATACCTAGGTACTTTAATTCCATTTTCAACTTTTTCCTTGTAAAAAGGACCATTTCTGTCTTCTTACGATTGATAGACAGTGAATGGTCCTTGCACCACTGTTCCATAATTTTTAGAGCTACTTGGATTCTTTCGCAGAGTATATTCTTAAAATCCCCTGCTTGCAGAATGACCAGGTCATCTGCATATGCTATTGTGTAGTGACTGTCATTATTGATGCGGCCGATGAGGGTGTCGAGAACCATATTCCACAGTAGAGGTGATAGCACCCCTCCCTGTGGACATCTTCTCGCAACCAAGCCTCTTATATTCACATCTTCTACACTTATGTTTACTGCTCGCTTTGAGAGCATGTTATGTATCCACCCACTAGACATTTGTGGAACATTTCTTTTGGTTAGTAAGTGTATTATCTTTGGGAAGGTGGTTTTATCAAAAGCACCTTCTATGTCTATGAAAACACCCAAGGTGGACTCCTTATTGTCCAGGGATCGTTCTATCCGGGCAGCAACTAGATGAAGGGCTGAATCAGTAGATCTGCCTGGGGTGTATGCATGTTGGTTTGGGCGTTGTGGTGTTGTTGTAATCATTGCATCCCTTATGTACCTTTCGCATAGCCTTTCTAGTGTCTTCATGGAAAACGATGTCAGACTAACTGGTCGGTATGTTTTTGGGACAGTGTAATCCATCCTTCCAAGTTTGGGTATAAATATCACCATTTTTGGGGGATATACCTCAGAGCGAACGAGGATCTGAATATACCCACCAGGTGCGGTGTGAGTTCTTCCAGACTCCACTGAAGTAGGGCTGGATAGATACTGCCAGGTCCTGGCGATTTGAATGGAAAGAAGCTGGATATTGCCCATCTAATTTTTTCATCGTCTACAATGTATTTGGCAGTTTGCCAATCATATCAGTAACTTAATAAGTTAGCTTAAGAGTTTGGAATTTTTGCTAGACATCAAATTGCTTTATTACATCATTTTTGTAAACCTTTAATGTAGGGCTTATCCTGATATTGGCAGGTAGTTTATTGAAAAAGCTGGGTTCTATACAACTAGGAGACTGAAAGAATTCAACTTTATTACATGGATATCCCCTTTGTGTTTTGTATTAAATAAAAAATGACAGTCACTATTAATAAAAATATATTTTTGTTTTAAAAAACAAAGGCATATCTCAAACACATACACAACGAAGGTATGGTCATAATATTGTAGCAAGTAAAAAGATGTTTACAAGTATGTTTACAGTCGACTCCTGCAATAGTTCGATTTTTTTTAGCATGCAAGAAAAACATTGAGTCGTAGTTGATAACCCGAGTAATGCCATGTCTTATCACTGAATCAACTAGGGAAAAATAAAAAGTGACAAGTTGTTTAGTAGTTGGAAGTGACTTCAAATTTTTAAAAAGATAAAGGGGAGAATTTAATTTGGAAAGAAATTGTTCACGATGTGATTTAAAATTTAGAAATTTGTTAACACGTAATTCCAAAAATTTAACTGAATTGATGTAATAGAATTATTATAATTAAGCTGTACACCAATATTTTTATAACTTTTGTATCTCTTGTGAAATCGAATATTAAATTAAAGATCAATTTGAATTAAATAGTATACACTTGAATCTAAGACATCAATTACTTTAGTGATGATTTATCTTTTATTGATTTTAGAAACTATCAACGAAAATGTCATCTGTGTCGGATGCCAGCGGTGTTTTTTTCTTAAATTCATGCTGCCTGCTCAAGGGTTCCTTCCGGTTTACAGGGTAGAATTGTGGACTGTAGTTCTGACTAATCTTGCAAATATACCGTTGATAGCTTGTTGTGGAATGTAGAAATTAAAATTATTGCTTCTGTTAACTGGTTTACTTTAATTTTATAAACTTTGTATTTTATAACCACATTTCATTTAAGTGATAGGTACTTTTACATGCAGTACTTGAACATGCTGAGTTGAAACATCTATCTATATTAGTTTAATGTTGAAAACAACCGTTTGCGCGTTTGGAAGTAGATAGTAAGCCAGTTGATGCCCTTATAGAGTGAAGTTAGCAACGAATCTTCTTCTTCTCATGCGGAGCACCAAAATGAGGTAAAAAATAAACCATATCTGTATATGTACAGTGTTGTGTTAAAGTAGGTAATCGAGCAAATATCTTTAAAATGGAAACAATAATATTGATGAAACTTAGCATGTTGTTGTAATGACGCATAATTCATCTTTTATATTATTACTGTACTTCAATTTTGCAATAATAAAAGTAACGGTTTTGTGCATATGATGCGTGTATATTTCCAATTTTTGCAGATACTAAAATATGGATAAATTCCCATTTAAATAAAATGAATATGAGGGTACTTTTAGTTTAATAGGAAGTACAATAACAAAATTATATTTATCATTGCAGCAACCTTTTAAAGATATTTGCTTGGTTCTATAATTTATCCCAACTCTGTATTTTCAAGTTAGATATTCTCTTTATGATACCTTTAATCTTGCCATTTTGGAAACTGTCATAAATTTGATAAGAAAAGGACAAGAATATTTACCATTTTGCAAAACTTTTTGAATACATTTTGAAGCGTTTTATATTTCTTTTTCCTGTCCATTGCCTTGTACTCCATAGAATGAGGAAAGTTAACGTCAAAAATTACATTGAGGAAACATAAATATTCTGCGATTTCCGGTTTATTAGTTATGTAAGTTTTAATTTGTTTTTGCTTCAATGTCTCATTTGCGCTTAGTGGAATATCGAAAAAGCTAAAAAATATCGTCCGGATGGCTCTATATGGCACCTGTAAAAAATGTAAAAATACATAAATAAAAAATTTAATAGCAAGCAACGGCATGATGAGCTGTAAAAACATGAACCAAAATAGTCATCATCTCTTGACACAGTTCGCATGAAAAATGGAATTCTAGTTTGGCCACTTTCAAGCAAATTTACTAAACTCCTAGCGCCATATGACGAAAACCCGACACACTTTTCTGTAGAATAATGGAAAATATTGTTCAGATCGTTTTGTACTAGGGCTGTCTTCTAAGTTTTGCATACAGTCGCCTTTAGTTAACCTCACTTCCAAGTTTCAGTTCGATTCATAGAGCGTTGTAGTTACAACGAATTTTCAAAGTTGACAAGTTATTCTAGAAATGGATTTAAACCGAGAACATTTTCGCGCCATAATTTTTACAACTTTGAAAGACAATAATGTCAACAAGAATGCCTCGCCGAGTTGATTTCGGTTTTCGGTAGTGATGCACTATATCAATCGACAATTTCTCGTTGGTATGGAGAATTTACACGAGGACGGGTTAATCTTAGTGACGAGCCAAAAACAGGTGCATCTAAATCGGTAGTCACCCAGGAAGCCATCAAGCTGTGCGCAGAGTCATCGAGGAAGATCGGCATGTGACATATCGCCAGATTAAAGCATCGTTAGGGATTTTAAAAACCTTCATCCAAAATATTTTGCATGAAGAATTGGGAGTAAAAAATTAGTGTCCCGTTGGATACCGCATCTGTTGACCGAAGAACAAAGAGAAGCTAGGGTAAATTGGTGTCAAAAAACTCTGGAGCGCTTCAACGCTGGAAATTCTAAAAACGTGTACTGCATCGCAAGTGGTGATGAATCATGGATTTACTCATATGAACCTGAAAATAAACGCCAATCGTCTGTTTGGGTTTTCCAAGGTGAAGACCTGTTACTGCCGATTGGTATATAACGATTTGTTTGCCAGCAGTCATCGCTAAGCTTCCGGAAACCAACCCCAAACGACGAATCATCCTCTACCAAGACCATGCAAGTACGCACACAGCTCGCAAAACAATTGCCTTCTTAGAACAACAAAACGTCGAGTTGTTAGACTACCCTCCTTACAGTCCCGACCTAAGTTTCAACGATTTTTTTACCTTTCCGAAAATCAAGAATGCACTGTATGGGCAACGGTTCCAGTCACCAGAAGATGCAATTGAGACATTCAAAACAGCCATTGGAGTTGTGACTCCACCCCAGGAGTGGAATAACTGCTTTCAGAGCTTGTTCGAGCGCATGCAAAAGTGCATTAATCTTTGTGGAGAATACTTTGAAAAAAATAAAATGTTTAAACACTACCTGCTGTTTTATTCTAGGTCTATATGCAAAACTTAAAAGACAGCCCTCGTATAGTAATTTGGTGACATTAGCTTAGACAGAAATATACTGTCTGACTTGTGCGCATTAATAAAGGACCTAATATGGAACCCTGAGAGGAACCATTTGTAACATATTTTAGCGCGATCATTCTACTGGACCCTCGCATAAAAATGTCTGTCCAACTAAAAGAAGTATATCTTAAGTTGTCCAACTCTACTGGATTTCAATAACGACCTTTACTTGTGATATTATAGTTTTTAAAGCCGTGTTGTTTATTTGGTAGTACCTGAATTTCCACTAGGAATTGATTTAAACTCCAATACTTTGGAAATAACTGGTTTTAATGGCGGATCTACAATATAGGCCAGTCAGTTAAGATATCCTATTTTGAACATTTCACATTAAGAGCTTTATCCAGTACGTTCCTAACTCAGATTTCAAATCTGCTAAATAATACGCGACGCAGTACCGATCAGTCCAATTTGGCAACGACGCGCGCTCGATTTCTGTAGGATGTTTCTCTGAGAGATATTCAAATCGGATTCGGGTGTGCGTTTTAGTTTTTAGTAGAGCAAAATTTACTACAAAAGTCGCTTATTGCTCGAGATGAAAAAATTGGCGCAGAACCAAATAAGACCCTATAGGTATTATGTAAATCAGTAGTATATGAAACGGCCACTCACGACATTTTTCAGTACCTCTGTAGGTCAGACATTTTTTATGACAAAAAAAAACACAAAAATCAGCCATTATTAAATATTAAGATTTTTTTTTTATTTGGTGTCATCGGCATCAACTACTAAGGTTATTAGCATAGTGTTCTATATAGGCTTTGTTACTGTTTCCCAGTACCACTTTAGGAACAGCACTGTTGATTAGAACCCAACCGTGAATGGTCGAGTGGGGAATCCTACCAAGGTATCAGAATTAATTTTAAATAATTTAATTAAATTAAATGAAAAATTCGAACCTGGGACCCTTGGATCCGCAGGCAGAGACTCTACCACTGATCCACCCACCCCCCAAATATTACTATTATTTACATCACTGTAGATTGAAAACCAATTGAGCTATCGACTTGATTTTTTTTATGATAAAGTAGAAATATGACCGCAAATTTCAGAAAATATTATAAAATAATATAGCATGCACCAAAAACCTAAAATATATAGATTTATTTCAAAAATAATATTAAAATATTATGATTTAATTGCAAACAAAATCAATAATTGTAAATAACTTATATGTATTTTCCACGCTTTTTGACTTGCATGTACGCTCAACGCCACAGTACGAAAATTTCCCGCTTTTGAAAAAAATGCCACTCTTTTTATGCAAATGGCACGCTTTTGATATTCAAAGCCGTAAATAAAAAGGAGGAACTGGATTTATATACGGTGAAGACCTTTTTTCATATATATATCGGCTAAAGGACCTTCGTTTACGAAAAATTCAAGCTAAGGACCTTTTTTTTATTAGAAATTTAAAAACTAATGGACTTGATTAGTATTTGAACCTGATGCTCTGTCGTCACGGTTGTCACGCTTTTCACTTTCGTATATCTGGCAAACCTATGAGTAGACAATCGCAGGTACCTATGTACGAGATTGTCGACAGATAAAGGATATTTAGAGAACATATTTTTTTAACAGGGCTTTACTTCCTCACAATGTATTGCTATATAAAAATAAAATCAATTTGTATGTATAACATTTATTACAATCCATATTACTCGTTATTGAGCATCATTTCGAGGAGGGTTACGTATTTCTAACCCCCATTATTTCTGAGAGAACACATTAATTCATATAAAAACACTGGAGTTTTCTTTGCATTGTGTTATGCCAGAAATTATCGTCTCTTTCAATTTTTTTCACTAAAAACCCAGAGGGGTCCACATCGCGAAAAAACAACATGATAGAAATAGTTGTGGTTTTGTTTCAAATTATATTATTATTGTCGTCAATTTTATTGCTTATTTTATAATTTTTTACCTTATTGTATCCTGCGATGTTAACTTTGAAGCAGAAGCAAGGCATTTAATTTAAATTATACAATAAGTTCATACCAGACCATTAGGAATAGTCCCAAAAGAACATAAATCCGGGTCAACAAACAAAACCAAAATTTTCGTCATGCATACCTAATAATTTTTTCTGAAAATTGACATACTGCTATTTGTTCTTTTTCTAAGCCATATCTTGTATGTTCATTTCCCATGTGCGTAGAATAAAGCAAACGTTTTATAAAATTTGTTTTTAGTCGCATTTTATAATACCAAAATTAAAAACAGTTAGGTGTACGTGTACACTTCTAGCTTGTTTCCATGTAGGATTTTCTCCTTGCCCTCTATCTAGTCTCTTTTTCAATCAAGTCTATTTCAAGAGTTTTTTGTAATTCTTTTAAAAATATTTCTTTTTTATTTTAATACTCCTTATCATTTAAATCGGGTATTATATATTCTCATGGTAAAGAAGACCGTAATCTTTATCTGGTAGGACATTTTTTTACCTTCAGTCAGTTATACGAGTTATGTCGTGATAACTACAAGCCTCTGAATAAAATCAAAAGTGTCATTTAACAATTAAGAAAAATGTATTAACCGACATGCGTGATTTTTTTTTTTTTTCATAACATAATTTACCATTTTTTACTATCACATGTCATGGTAGCTGCACAACTGATCATTATATTATTATGATTTAATGAGTGCTATGGTAACTGATTCATGATTATTAAATGATATGCATGGTTCGTAGACAATTCAATAGTTTTATCTTTAGCATTTTGGTTCTAGAAACTGCCAGATCAAAACATTATGCAGTGAGCATCATAAGTCTTACTCCCCGTAACTAACTCGTTACTGGGGTCTTGTTAGGAAAATCGCCGAGACAGGTCGATTTTTGATTTCTACAATGTAAATTTTCGCATGATTAGTTTACCCTTAATTTCATCCCTTACTGGATGGTAGCAACCCTTTCGAAAAATTTAAATGGCATGGGGTGGTGAGTGATAGCTCATTTGAAAGGGAGTTTTATTCTCTATTCAACCGTGCAAAAAATTTTGAAATTTGCTTCATTACGTGTTGATTTATTAATGTTTAAAAATAACAAAACCTCACAAAATAGGAAAGCAACTAGACTAACAGTGACCTTCTAATGGCAAAAAGTCTTACTTCACGTCTGAACCAAAACCGAAATCATGCAGGGCCGAATTTTAATTCTAAGGATGAGTGCGCTACGTTAATTTCCGTTATTCTGAAACAACAATTAGTCGAGAATTAATGAAGCAAATTTCAAATTTTTTTACAGGGTTGAATAGAGAATAAAACCCTCTTTCAAATGAGCTATCACTCACCATCCCATGCCATTTAAATTTTTCGAAAGGGTTGCTCCCCTCCAGTAAGGGATGAAATTAAGGGTAAACTATTTATATAAAAATGTACATTGTAGAAATCAAAAATCGACGTGTCTCGGCGATTTTCCTAACAAGACTCTAGTAACGAGTTAGATAGGGGGGGGTAAGACTTATGGTGCTCACTGTATATTGCTTTTACGTAAAATAAAAATGCCACAGTAAAGATACACTTTTAAATTATCCGATGACACTAAGCTTCTGAATTTAAAAAGTCTTGTACGATTTTTTACAGATGTTCGTTTTGA